AGTGACCTGAAGCTTGCAGGGGATGTTCCTCCCACTACACTTGCTCTTATTTTCCTTTCTTTCCTCTTAATAGTTATTTTACAATCTCCACTAGGCTCTGCAGGACCACAGATATTTCTATTTTCCATTTCTGCACCTTTGGGGTGCAGCCTCCTCTCCCCTTTTCTGTTCTTCGGCATCTTTGTCCACAAATTGTTCCAGTTTCTTTTCAATAGCATCCATCCTCTACATCATCTGGATAATTGCTGGTATTTCCTTCCCAGAAGCATCCGCATTCCTTCACTTCCTGCCGTTCGTCCTGAGACTGACCATTGCCCTTCGGTGCTGGCGCCACACGCGGTGGGCCCTGCAGCAAGGCGTTGGGGATTGAAGTCTTAGCTTCCCCCCGCACCTCTGCCTGTGTGGTGGCCGGCCCTTTCGCTTGTGCTGCAATTCCTTGCTGGGGAACCGCTGAAATGATCTTTAGTTGTGGCCTCGCTCCGCATGCCAGGGATCCGGCATTCTGTTGGCCTCCGCAGGTACAGCAGCCAGGCTTAAACCTTTCTCCCTTTTCTATTTTGTCTTTGACTTACGGCCCCATCTGCAGCACTTGAGGCACATGACTCGCGGTTCCACGTACGGTGCTACCCTCCTATGCCCCGCTCCAGAGATGAATACCCTCTCTGGCACTTCCCCTGTCACGAGGGCAGCAAGCTGACCCCGCGCCTCGCCCCTGGACACGTGCCTTTTTACCCATACAAACCTATCGTCGTCCAACAGAAATTTGGGGTCCGGTATCGTCGGGAAAGTGATCACTTTCGTGAGCTTTTACCCGGCCTTTGGGACAGTCATCACTGTCCCCTTGTCAGGGTCTGCTCCGCCTCGCCTGCCCGTACCGTGAGATACGAGCTCCCGCTGCCTTCCTTCCAGAAGTGGCTCGAAATCACGGTGGGCCCGGCCAAGAGAGAGACACAGACAGACAGACAGACAGACAGAGGAAGAGAAAGGGAGAGAAAGAGAGTATTACAAGCAAGTAGTGTTGCACGTAAATGGTATAGAGATAGATAAGTGGTGAATCGCATTGCTTGAAATAAAAGTAGACCATGAATGAGTTCATAATATTGAATGTTAAAATAAGAGTAATCGTATATTGAACTGTAAAACCGATGTTATAATTGCAGTACAAGAACAAATTTGAATCATTTGCTGGCAGTGTGAGCATGGAAGGAAATCGCTCGAGTATTCGTTTATACAATGAAGAAATACAGAGATGAAAGGATAAGGTGATAAAAATGAAAGTAACTTGTATTTGTAACGTAAAGCTTTATTATTCGTAAATAACTCAGTGTTTTACGACAGACGAAGTGACAATAATAATAGAAAACCCAGCTAAGTCCCCATTTTAGGAAGCAATCACTGTAAAAGTCCCCCAACACAACTCTGCGTCAGGAATCGATGTACCAAAGAAGTAGGTAAGGCATCTGTTTTCTTGCTTTTTCTTGTTTCATTTACCTTTGGCAGCCATCTAAGAAAGGGAAGCTGTAACTCTGTGTGGGGGATAGGAATGGAAATGTCATAAATATCTTTTTTTTACCTGTATAATTTCATTTCGAATTAAATTTTGTTACCAATTTATATCAGTGACTTTATGTAAAATTGTCCATTATTTACACGTGAATGCTTAGTGGCACGAGTTCCACGGCCATCCTTCCAACTTAAGGAACCACAAGTGTGACTTACCTTGCTGACGGAGAACTCGGGCTGGTAGTAGTCGTAGACGACCACGGATCCCGGCTTGGCGTCCTCGATTTCCACGTCTCGGGTGATGCGGAAACTCACGCACACTTCCTGGGCCGTGAACTCCTCGATGTAGAAGGTGACTTTGCTGCCGTCCACCTCGTAGCGCTTGACGACCTTAGGGTTTCGCCGCACGACCTCCTTCAGGTCGTCCTTACTGGGGATGAAGCCGGACACGAGGTTGACCTCGATGACGGCCATGTTGGACCTGCCGTCGGGGAGGAGGTAGGCGGAGCAGGCCTCGAGGCGCTTCTCGACGCAGCCGCCGCGCGGGTCGTTGACGGCCTGCACACGCAGGCTGAAGGCGTCGCTCGGCTCGGCCTCGGGCACGTTGTAGCGGAGGACAGCCTGTGGGCGGGAGGATGAAATGATTATATCTCGTCTTCCTTTGCTGCGATGAGATACTCGTTAAGATTAGTCCACGGCTGATCAGTTACCTGTGATATGTATAGACTGCATACAGCGTACAATCAATAGTTTTTATGTTCTATAATGCACAGGACTCACCTGCATCACGGCACATCCCTGGCCCTCCATGCTGATGCTCACGCTAGTAGGTAAGCTCGGGAGCTTCACCAGCTGCTGCAGGAGCTTGTTCTGTTCGGTCAGCGTGAAGGAGTGCGACAGGTCCGTGGCTGTGACTGTGGCCACGACGTTCAAGGGCCCCTGGAACGTGTGAGTTTCGTAGCTGGCCAGGGCCTGCAGAGCCACTACTGTATCCTGTGAAGGAAAGAGCGCTTATTCGATGTTGTACACGGAAGTAATGTCAGTTGCTGGATCATAAAATCGACAAGAAGCTCGAAAGCATGCTCGCTTCTCACCTGTGTGGAGTAGAACCCTCCTTGGCCGTTCCTCTTCGAGGTGATCCACTTGACGATCTGCCTGGCCTGGAGGGCGTTGGCCACCGGGTCTTGGGCCATCAGGGCGAGGATGGCATAGCCCGCCGTTTCCACCTGCAGGGCTTTGCTCCTGCCTGTTGGGAAGCGTGGACACGTGACAGCAGGGTATAAAGAATGTATTTCGTGTTAGTAACTACTTCATTCCCACACTTACTTGACGCGGAAACCATTATCCGTTTCTAATGTAGTGTTGTGGTTAATTTGCAATATACCTGTTTCCAAATTTCCATTTGATTACTGGTTTTTAAGAATGGTCAAAAAAGTATATATAGAAATAGTCGGCAACCCCAGGACTCACGAGGCCCCTGGGGCAGGTTCCAGTACAGAGCGTTGTTCTCGACGACGGCCAGGCTCAGGAGGTCCTGGATCACTCGCTGGGCGTTGGGGTCCTTGGCCAGGGCAAGGGCGTAGGCCTTCAGGGCCAACGTATAGGGGTCGTTGGAGGAGTCGGCCAGCACGCAGCGGCCTGCGTCCAGCACGATTGGCGTGTTGATGGGAACCCCGGCTTCGAGGAGGGCGATGAGCACGTAGGCTGTCAGCGGGACGGTGGAGCTGCGGCCTGCGAGACCGCCCTGCACGGAGGAAGGCGAAGAGTTGTGTCACGGAGATGGAAGGCTCAGCCCTTTGAGGGACAGATGGCACAGTTAAGTGCATCAAACACTATAACCCAGATCTTACTCTTGGTATACAATCAATCATGTAAAACAAACTCACTGCACAGCAAATACAGCATCAAGGCATTACTCTCATAGAACACCCAAGCAAATAAACACAAACGTAACGTCCAGGAGGCAATACAAAAAGTACAGACATTTACACGAAACAAAATTCACAAAGGAAAGCAGCTGCTCTCACAGTACCCCCGCGCACGCAGAGTGAAGGCAGAACATACCGTAAGCCCTTTGCTGAAGACCTTCCCGACGGGGTCAATGCAGCCGCTCGGGTCTCGGGTCGAGTTGCTCAGCCAGAGGCGCGTTTGGTCGAGGCTCTCGGTGTCGACCTGAAGAAGATCATTTCGCGTTTGAAAAGGGCTCGGCTAAGGGTTGCGGCTTGAAGAAGGTTCTTTCCCATATCTAGTTTGAAACATTAAACATTAAACATTAAAAAGAAATACAAAGAATACAGCGAAACGACCCACGAAGCAGTCTCAACACGTAAATGAACCCGAACCCCAAGCGGATGGCGAAGGGGTCATCGGGAGCTTGGAATCGAAGCTCCTCGAGATCCCCGCCCTTGGCAAAGCGCCCTCGGGGTACCACTCACCGAGATGAACCTCCGAGCCTGCGCGAAGGACTTGAGGACGAAGGCCGTGAGCCAAGTGGAGCCGGAGTCGTCTGCATTCCCGAAGGCGCTGTAGGAGCTGTCGTCGCGTCGGTACAGCAGCTCGCGTTGGTAACCTGCGCGGGGAATGTTCTCGTCTTCATCTGTTCCCTTAACCGACCATCCTCGTGTTTATTTGTTTACTTGTCTCTTTTCACCCGTTTTACGCTTTCTCTCTTACTCGCTTACCCCGTGTTTCTTCCTTATATATCAACAGATATGAATTTACAGAAGGAATAATTCAAAGCAAATGAAACGAGAGATTCCTCGCGAGGTAGAAATATATTTAGCTCGCTTTCTCTCTTTTCGTCTTTTATTAATCACCCAACTATTTGTTTCTTGTTCATTTCACCGGATAATAAAAAAAAACTGCTCTTATAATTCACCTGTCTAAATAACCTACAATCAACTTACTTATACAAGAAACTCTTTACACACACAAACACACACACACACACATACACACACACACACACACACACACACACACACACACACACACACACACGCACACACACACACACACACACACACACACACACAAACCTCCCACAATGCCCCTCGTACAAAAAAAAAAAAAAAAAAAAAGAAAAAAAAAAACTCCTCGTACAAGTAACCTTACCTCTCCAAGCCACCCGTCTTACTTGTACAAGACCCTCCTCACCTGTCCTCATGAATCTCAACAGCTTCTCCGTAATCTCCGGCGTGCCCTGCTCCGTGGCCGTCAAGTACTGCAGCATGTAGATGTTGGGCGCGAAGTTGACCATGTTCTGTTCGCCGCAGCCGGACGGGTGGCGGATCAGGTAGCCGAGGTTCTGTGGGGAGAAGGAGGGAAGGAGAATGAGAGAAGGGGGAGGAGAATGAGAGAGGGAGGAGGAGGAGGAGAGAAGGAGGACGAGGAGGAGAGAAGGAGGAGGGAAGGAGAAGGAGGAGGAGGGAAGGAGAAGGAGGAGGAGAGAAGGAAGAGGAGGGAAGAAGAATGAGAGAAGGAGGAGGGAAGGAGAAGGAGGAGGAGAAAAGGAGGAGAAGGAGAAAAGCAGAATGAGAGAAGGAAGAGGAGGGAAGGAGAATGAGAGAAGGAGGAGGAGGAGAAAAGAAGGAGGAGGGAAGATGGAAGAGAAAAGGAGAAGGAGGGAAGGAGAATGAGAGAAAGATGAGGGGAGAAGGAGGAGGAGGAGAGAAGGAGGAGCAGGAGAAGGAGAGAAGGAGGAGGAGGAGAGAAGGAGAAGAGAAAGATGCTGCGTATTGGTTCCTTTTTCCTTTTTAATTAATTTATTCATTCATTCGTCTATCAATTTATTCAATTATTTATTTATGTTTTCACTAACTTATTCATTTATTTCATCTGTTTTTTATATTTACAATTAATAATAATAATGATAATGATAAAATAGTGATAATAATAATAACAAGAATGATAATGATAATGATAATAATAATAATGATAATAATAATAATGATAATAATAAGAACAACAACAATAATAATAATGTTAATAATAATAATAATAACAATAATGATAATAATAATGATAACGATAATAATAATAATAATGATAATAATAATAATAATGATAATAATAATAATAATAATAATAATAATAATAATAATAATAATAATAATAATAATAATAATAATAATAATGATAATAATAATAATAATAATAATAATAGTAATAATGATAATAATAATAATAGTAATAATAATGATAATAATAGTAATGATAATGATAATAATAATAATAATGATAATAAGAATGAAAAAATAACAATAAAAATAATAATAAGAATGAAAAATAACAATAAAGATAATAATAAAATAGCAAAAATGATAAAAAAATTATAATAGGAATGCCAATAATAAAGGTGCAATAGCAACAATAGCAACAAACACTCGACCCGCCCCAGCAATCCCTTCGAGCAAAACCGCTTTCTCAGCAGCGGCGCCGGCACTCACCTCAAGCGAGAGTGCCAGCAGGTCCCCGACGGAAGTGACCCAGGCGCGGGCGGAGTCTGGCACTATGTTGGCGGGCGGCACTATTTCCCACGTGTCCGGAGCGTCCTCGCCGGATGCCACCTCTGTGTGTGGGCGGGGATAGTGGGTGGTAGGGGGGAGGGAGGTGGTTGGGTGGCAGGGAAGGGGGAAGGGGGGAGAGGGGGGAGGGTGAAGGAATTATTGATTATCATTTTCGCATCATTAAGTCTCGGTTTTAAGGATTTTTTTCTCAATTTCTAGTCCATTCACTAATGCTGGTGACGTTGTTTTGTTCTCTTATTCTTACTACCACAATAAAAAATATATATATATATATACATATATATATATATACATATATATATATATATATATATATATATATATATATATATATATATATATATATATATATATATATACATATATATACATACATATATATATATTTATATATATTTGTATGTGTGTGTGTGTGTGTAATATATATAATAATAAAACCATTGCCAGCACAAACCCCATCAGTCATAATCATTATCCTTACCAACCTCTTGACCACTTAACTACCCAAACGATAAGCTACCGATGAAGCAACCCGCTCAGTCGCCCTCACCTTCGGCGCAGAGGTACTTGGTCCACGTCTGCTCTCTCGGGAAGCCCTCCGCCTCGACCGTGATGGGCTTGATCAGGGTGTCTCTGCAAAGGAGGGGCCGTTGGTGATGCTGCGAGGCGGTAAGGGGGCGTGGTGGCGGTGGAGGTGGAGGGGGAGGAGGAGGGGGAGGAGGAGGGGGAGGAGGAGGAGGAGGAGGAGGAGGAGGAGGAGGAGGAGGAGGAGGAGGGGCAGGAGGAGGAGGAGGAGGAGGAGGAGGGGCAGGAGGAGGAGGGGGAGGAGAAGAAGAAGGAGAAGAAGAAGAAGGAGGAGGAGGAGAAGAAGAAGGAGGAGAAGAAGAAGAAGAAGGAGGAGGAGGAGGAGGAGGAGGAGGGTAGTGGCGACGATGATGGCGGTGGTGATGAAATGGCAATGGTGATGATAATGATGGCAGTGGTGATAGTGATATTGAACACCATCTTCAACGCCCTGGAAACAACCCGCTGGCGCTTGAGCGAACCCGCCTTCACTTGCCTCCTCGCGACCGGCGCCGTCCCCCCGCCGCACCCGGCCGCCAGCGCGGAGTCCACGAAGGCCGACACCGTGAGGTTGACGTCGCCGAGCGCCAGCGTCCGGATCTTGATCGTGTGCACCGCCTTGTCCTGCGGCGCCAGGCAGGACGCCCTCTCGTTGCCTGCTCCTCCTGCTCCTCCTCCATTAGCAGCAGGGTCCTCCACCACCTGGTACTCGGGGCTGGCCTGCAGGATCACTCGCACCTGCAACATACGGAAGGGGAGAGGCTCGTACAGTGAAGCGGAGGAACTTCCCGAGGCGCCTTTGCATTTGCACTCGGACTCAGTGGCACCGATAAGGACAGCCAAAAGGAGCAGTACAGTGCTGTCGATCTGTCTTACACGCTTCCCCTTTTTTGCTCTTTCGTCATTCACAAAAAGAACGTTAAAATGTCAAAACAAAAAAAATCATGCTGCATGTATATCTATGTGCAAATAGTATAGTGTCTGTGTGCGTGCGCGTTAGACTCACCGGCAAGGGCTGGTCGAGGTAATTGAATACGGAGATCTTGACCGGGAGGACCTCGCCTCGCTTGACGGAGGGCGGGAGGGTGAGGTCGGTGAAGAAGGGCGTGAAGGCGGTGATGGACGCCCGCTCGGACAGCCCCACGCCCTTGTCCGCGTGGGCGCACACGGCCTGCCCCACCCACTCCGTGATCGTGTCCGGGAGCTTCAGCCGGTCCTGGATGAGCCCACTCGCGCTGCAGGGATAACGGTGATGATAATAATGAAGGCAATAAAATGATCATCATAATAGCAACAGCAACAGCAGCACCAGCAAGCTGGTCCCCGAAGAGGCGGCACTCACGGGACGGCCACGAGCTCCCAGAGCCACGTCTCGGGGAACAGCGTCCGGGGCGCCGTGCCCTCCGCCTCCTCCGGCTGCGTCGGAGCCTTTGCGGCCCCGATGGACGCTCCTCCGAATCCTGCAGCGAACCCGCCCTGGATCCTGTTGGGCGCGATGTCCCCGGTGATGCCTATGGGCCCGAAGCCGTCTGCGCCTCCGTCATCTGTCGGTGGAGGGAGGCGTGAGGTTGGCGCCGGCTGGGGGAGTGAGGGGGGGGGGGCAAGTGGGGGACGAGGGAGGCTGGGCTGGAGGAAGGAGGGGGCAGGGGGGAGGGAGGCCGCCGTGGCAAGTGGGAAAAAAGAAAGCGAGAAAGATCGAGCGAGAGAGAAAAATTGTGTGAAGGTTGAAAAGCCCTGCCAGGATACCGACCTTTCGTAATCTTTACATACACTAGAAAAGAGGAACAGACGTAGATCTAAACCCTCATGTGTGTACTACACTTACACTGAATTAAATTAATCCAAGCTTATCAATTCATGTGCTAAAAACCGGCCTCCCTTGAATTTCTGCTTCTCCCTCTCTTATTTCATTCTCCACTTTTATATTTTACTCCCCTTCCTTAATTCCCCTTTATCACAAAACCCTTCGCCTCTGAACTCTGTACCTACTACCCCTCAAAGGACACAGGGGGGGGGGGGGGCGGCTTACCTTTCTCACACGGCCTTGTCTCCAGGATCAGGTTGGAGATGACGTGGACTCCAGCGGCCTGGAACGAGGGAGGGACGAGGATAAATCAGGGAATAAGAAAAGGGGAAGAAAGAGGAAGGACATAAAGGGGGAGGGGAGAAAAGGAACAAATTATTGAGGTGAAGATACAGATACAAATAACAGGAGGGATTTTGTTGACAACAAGGTAAGTGGTGAATGGTCTCAAATACACAAATTCACACACACACACACACACACACACACACACACACACACACACTCACACACAACACACACACACACACACACACATACACACACACACACACATACAAACACACACACATATCCACAAAAAAAAACAAGCAAAAAACAAAAAAACACACACACACAGAAGCACGCACACACTCACACAAACAGTGCAAATACAGTACTTACATCAAACATCGTTAAGGCATCGACATACTCTGTATAATAGGCAAAGCGAGGGAAGGGGGCGAACAATATACCTGAAGAGAAAATGAAAAGAGTCAATACGTGTTTGGAATCACGGTTGGCGGGGGTGCGCGGGGTGTGTGTGTGTGTGTGTGTGTGTGTGTGTGTGTGTGTGTGTGTGTGTGTGTGTGTGTGTGTGTGTGTGTGTGTGTGTGTGTGTGTGTGTGTGTGTGTGTGTGTGTTTGTGTGTGTGTGAGAGAGTGTGAATGTGAATGTGTATATACATATATAAAATATATTCATTTGCGAATTACGTACCATACGATATAGCGAATTTTACTTTAGATATTGTAAATGAAAAGTAAACAAACAAACAAACAAAGTTAATGACAGTGAATCAGGAAACAGAAAACGAGAGAATTGGGTATAAAGATGTACATAAAACAAATATGATGAAATGGGTGAAAAAACACCAAATGCACGATATAAAAACAAAAGAATAGGTAAGGAAGAGATTAACAATAATAATAATAATAATAATAATAATGATAATAATTATAATGATAATAATAATGATAATAATAATAATAATAATAATAATAATAATAATAATAATAATAACAATAACAACAACAATAATAATAATAATAATAATACCAACATCATCAAAAACAACAATAAAAGTAAAAAAAAAATAAGAACAACATCATCATCAAAAACAACAATAAAAGTAAAAAAAAATAAGAACAACATCATCATCAAAAACAACAATAAAAGTAAAAAAGAAAAAAAATAAGAACAACATCATCATCATCGACAACAACAACAACAATAGTATAAAAATAACACCACCACCACCAAAGCAAGAGCAACAACAGTTTTATCCCCGCTGTCTCTCACCTCCGCTCGCGACCGACTCAGCCGATTTCTCAAAGGCTTTTCTCTCGCAGTACTCGGAGTCGTCCACCTGCGGGTTAATCCAGGGGAAGATCTTGTATCCCTCCAGGTAGCGGAAGATCGCGTCCAGGGATATCGGAGTCGGGTCGGGATTCAAGAGCTCGGTACTCTTGTCGACGACGCCTGGGGGAGAGGGGGGGAGAGGAGGGGGGGGGGGGGGTGAAGGGGCATGCGATGCGTCGTTTGTTTCGGGTTCAACGTTGCGGAGAGATAGATGGATAAATAGATTAATTGATTGGCGGATTGAGAGATAGATAGATAGATAGATAGATAGATATAAACGTAATTTATAGATAGAGAGCATGGTTGATTGACTGATAAATAGATAGAAAGACAAAATGACTGACTGACTGACTAATTGATAGATAAATATATATATATATATATATATATATATATATATATATATATATATATATATATATATATATATATATATATATATATATATATATAGAGAGAGAGAGAGAGAGAGAGAGAGAGAGAGAGAGAGAGAGAGAGAGAGAGAGAGAGAGAGAGAGACAGAAAGACAGACAGATAGATGTAGATGTAAGTCTAGATACAGAAAAATTAAATGATCGCACGGCCAAACAATCGTTAATCGTTGCTATATGAATTAATAATTGCAAGGTTTATTAATTTCACTGGAATGGTATATAAATGGATTAATATGACACGTTTTTTCGTCTTCTACTTAGGCTTAAACGCAAAACACATAGACTATAATACATATATACATATACATATGGATATGTAACTCGAGATGCGGCGAGCCAAGCGCCAGGACTGACCCACAGAGCAGATGGCGTTGGGCTCGGAGGAGAGTGCCACCGTGGTCTCCCCCCCCGGCAGTGCCTGTCGCGCCGAGAAGGACAAGTTGGCCGCGATGTCCAGGCACCTCTCCAGCTTGAGCTCGGCCGCGTCAGACACCACTTCTCCGTCGTCGCGGGTGTACCAGATCAGCACCTGCGGGAGGGGCGGGGGTGGGGTGAGAGGGGGGTGAGGGGGGGGTGAAGGGGGGGGTCAAAGCAGGTGTGAGAGGAGGATATGCAAACAACAACGAGGAAATATTCATGTGCGAATATCCATGTATAACGAAAATGATAATCAGTTGGTTTATTAATAGATAGGAAGATTAATAAATAAACACGCACACACAATTATACATATATAAATAAATATATATACACATAAAAATATACAAATAACATAAAACACACCCATGAATGCACAGCCCCTCCCTTTCCCCACCCGGCATACATACATAACCCCCCCCCATCCCCACACATACTAATTCCTTGATTTCCCTCCCCTCTCTCCCCCACCCGCCCCCTTCTCTCCCCCACCCCGCGCCCACGCCTAACGCCCACCTGCGCCGTGGGTGAAGCGGTGGGCGGCAGGGAGATGGGCAGGTTGAGGACGCCCATGACGATCGGGAAGCCGGGGTTGGAGGGGGCGTCGACGAGGTTCTGGGCGTCGATGGGGAAGGCGGAGGGCGTGAAGGACACCTGCTGCGTCGTCAGGTGCTGGATCTTGCCCCGGGACACCACCTGTTTGTGGGGAGGGGGGGAGGGGAGAGAGAAAAAGATATTTCGGTTAGTGGTCGAGAAAAAATGCTGGTCAGACTTCTTTATCATTTTATTTCGATACAAATTTCATGGTTATTTCTGCTACTGGGGCTACTATGGCTAGTTTTGTTATTCCAAGTCCACAGTTTCCTCTGCTCCTACTATTTCTTATACCGTACTATATTTCCTTTACTATTATACCTATCTATAACTATCCTTATCACTGCCATCATGAGTAATACTATTTCTACAACTACTATTTTAGTAAGATCCTTATTATTCTTACTATTCCTTCTTATATTTCTCAATTATATTTATCTTTCTTATCCCGCCACATCTGCCACTACCTAGCTGCTACGTTTCTGTCACAACCATTGTCTTTCGTACAACAACCTCTACAGCTATTTCTATAACTTCCCTCATGACTACCACAGAAACCACAGCCTCTACAGCTATTTCTCCTTTCAAAAGCCACTTCTACAGCAAGTACTATCGCCACAGCCTACCACAACCTCCCACAAGCTCACAACCACTCACCTGGACGGTCAGCGCAGCCCTCGGTTGGTTGTTGGCCGAGAACCAAACGGGCAGGTTGTAGTTTCCGCTCTGGCCAGGCTCGCACTTGAGCTTCTTCTCGGGCACCTGGAGGAGCAGGGAGGAGTTCGAGGGCGAGTAGTACTGACGGATCTCCTTCGAGAAGGTCGAGGCTCGGAGGTCGGCGCGGCAGTTCAAGGTCGACATCTGGGGGGAGGAGGGGGGGGGGGGAGTTTAGGACCTTCAAATGACATTTGGGATTTTTTTCGATTCGAGAGGGAAGCTGTCTTTAGCATGTTTCTGTTCTGATCATGTCTTTTTTCTTGATATATGTAATAAGATTTTCCGAGAGACATCCTTGTATATGTAGAACTAAAAATT